CTTATGCGCCCTCCCCTGAACTTTGGGTTCAAAGTTGGAAAAAAATTTCATATTAGTGTGACCCATCAATTTGTATTGAACTTTTACTGGGAGTTCTGTGATATAGTTTATTTTTAGTTTAAACGATTAAATAACGAGAAAAACCAAAAAAATCCACAAATTATGTGATATTTTTTTAATTTCACGAGTTTATTTCGTGTTTTATTATTTATTCAAACCGATTATAATTTTTATCATTAAAACTGTTATAAAATTATAAAATTTTTTTCTTTTTAGAATAAATTTTTCAAATACCCATCAATAGATTAAATAATTAAAGCTCTTTTTCAAATTAGAAAAATATTTGACATTTGAATTACCTACCCTTTTAATAAACAATGTATTTTAAATAAAAACAGATTATAATATTTTTAAATTTAACAAATTAGTTCAAAATGAAAAAATGTATGTATTTAAAAGTTTTTAATACATGTTACCTCAGCATTATTTTATTTACTGATTGCTATTTTTTTAATTTTAATTTTATACTATTAATATATATTAATAAAAAAAAAACAGGATTATACATGCTCTTGAACATAAAAAATTAAAAACCCAGCACAGTGGTGACGTTGCATAGATGGATCAAGTATAATGATATCTGACAGTGATTAAAATCACTATAAAAAAACGCTTCGATCCAAATCTTTAGATGTTTAAATAGTGTTTCATTTAAAAAAATTGGTGGATTATTCCAAAAGCTACATGATCTGCTAGTTCCTTATTAATATCCTGATTAAGATAAAGTATGTCGAATGAAAAAGAACATTTTTTTCTATGATAAAGTATATTACATTAGCTTTAATTTAAGATATATATAAATGTATCAGACTTTTCGGAACACTTTCAAAATTTAAGTAGAAAAAGTAAATTTTTGTGAAAAAGTTGTCATTTTAAATCCCCCCCTGTGGGCAGGTAAAGGGTCAGATATAAAAAAAAAATATATCAAATGATAGGCAAAGACATCATGCATCTATAATAAAAAGAATTATATTGATCCATAGATCTTTCAAAAAGTTATAGCATTATAAAGTTAAAAATATAAAAAAGAATTTTTTTTATTAAGTTTGATGTCTGTTTTCACCATGAAGATAAAATAAAGTCCGAAATTTTTTTTTTCATGATAAAGTATATTACATTAGCTTTAATTTAAGATATATATAATAGTGTCAGACTTTCCGGAACATTTTCAAAAATCAAGTTGAAAAAGTTGTCATTTTAAATCCTGATTGTGGGCAGGTAAAGGGTCAGATATAAAAAGGTCGGCGACTCTTATAGGATACACCAACCACTTCATCTTAACGTCGTCTCGTTCCAAGCCGTACACGTTGACAGACACGTTAGGGTTTCGTCGCTCAAATATTTTAATTTGGGACACAGGTGTGGGGAACGTCAACCCCGTAAAATCATACCTGTGTTCCTCGTTAAAATATTTTCGATCAACGCGATATTTGTGGTCTCCCTCGACGTGTCTCGCCAAAATGGACCACTTGAAACAAGACTGATCGATATTCTGTGGGTTGATGATTGCTTTTCTTTGGTTAATCTCTGGTGGGACAGGAATATATGATGAGCCGGCGAGGGGCGTATACTTGTATACGCTGAGCATAAGGCCGTCGATATGCGTTAGCGTGAATCCGCTACACCTACTCGAATACGCGTCTTCCTCGGCAAGCATAACCTCAAAATCTTCATTGACCGCGCACCCGATATCCGTATTGGATAGCAATACCCTAGCCCCTGTCTTGAAGGCATGGTCTTCAGGCCGTTCTTCTGATCGCGGTATATAGTATGAGGCCTCCAATTTGAGATTATACTTGATCGGACGGTTACCTACAATTTCAGCGAGTCTGGCCACCAGCTCGGGTTTAACGGCGCGCAGAAAATCTCGATAGCTTGCGAAATTTTTCACGTTTTTCCGATAAAACCAAACGGCCCCCTGCTCCAATGCGGAATCGATCTCGGTGAAATCATGGGTATCCGACAATTGCATACGTAACCTTTTCGACCTAACCGCGCTGTTGTTAGCCCTACTACGCTTAGCCGCCTGACGTGATGAAACAGATGTCGCGGAAGTAGCTTTAATAAAAAATGAAATAAATTATTTATTTATTGAAAAAAAAAAAAAAAAATAAAGATAGTAGGGGTGGTAAAATTAAAGAGATATTAAAATGTTAATAATTGTAAAAATCTACATACCTGGTACAGAAGACTTTTGCAGGTTCATGATTTTTTAGACGGTAATGTGGGTTATAATATGGTTTACTCACTTAGATGTTATCACCGAAGTGTTATTACCCACTATTGTATGTAGGGCGTTCTCGACGGTGGCAATTACTTTATTGTAACCGCCGATAACATCATATAGTTTGTTAACAAGTCGTTCAAGGAATAGTCAAGGAAAAGTGTGGTGGCGGCGGCCGCTACTTGACGTACACTATTTCAATGTAATGTATACATTTATTGTTAAACGCAGTGAAGATTCGTGGGTGTTGGTGGTGGAGGTGCAACTTTAAATGTAATACCGCTATTATAGGAGTAGGGTAATATTGGGAATTCTAGGCCCCCCGCCTCACTCCTTCCACTCACAAATGTATAGTGGGTGGTTGTGGTCGGGGGGAGGGGTGTGTCATACAGAGGGCGTGGTCTCTCAATGATGGTGGTAAGGGAGTTGTGGTCTTATCAATGATGTTGTAAGGAGGAGGCGTGGTCTCACGATAGTGGGGGTCATAGGTAACTTATGTGGAGGTGTTAAGGTTAATAAAAATGGCATTTAAAGTGCGCATGCGCACTATAACTTTATGTCAGCGGTGGGGTAAGTAGCCATTCGAAAATGGTTGTTCTCCTCCTACGATGTCATCTACTGGAGGTTAAGGTAAATCTCATGTAAACTAATAACGTTAACTGATAAACGTGCGTGTAAACATACACATTACATTAAAATAGTGTGCGTCAAATAGAGGCCGCCGTTGCTACTATAACATATTTACTTAATATTAACGCTACAAGGTCTTCGTCAACAATTCCTACAAAGGGCGGGGGTAATGAAACATAACATAAACTAACCTGGATGAATCCAAGTTAAACTAACAACGTTTTCTAAGAATTTTTATCATTGCCTACCAGACGCTTAGATAAGCATATTTCCAACATCAAAGGTACTACCATATTATAACCCACATTACCGTCTACATTTTATAAAAACAAAAACATCGTCTGCCGTTATGGATAATAAATTCTAAGAATTTTATCATCGTCTACCAGACGCTTAGGTCAGCATTTTTTCAACATCGTTTGTGTAGTATCTGAACCTGTTTAAACCAACCCAAACTTCTTTAAACAAGGTCTTCGACCCGTACATAAGAACGTCACATCAATTTCAGACTCATTCACTCACTATCTTTTCTAAAGTGATTATACCAAAAACCATTTGTCTGATTATTTTTATTAGTTGTCCTGAAGAATTTCTATGACTTGTTGTCATTTGATATAAAATAAAGTAAGTAATACATTTATATATATTTTTCATTTAAATTGTTTTCAACTGACTTTGGTTACTAGTTATGTTTAGAGTTGTTTCATACTTTATTAATTTTTTTTAATTTTAGAATGGAACAATTAAAGAAACAGTTGAACGAACAGACTACATTAAAAAGATATTCATAATTAAGCGATCTGGAGGAACACACGCCATACAAAGTCATATCTATGAAAAATACAAGCACTCGAAATGGGGTTGTTGTTGTTGGTTGTCTATTCAATAATATGAATGTGTTTATCCCGAGATTGAAATTAATTAATGAAGAAATCAAAGTGTACAATATCAACAATGATGACAACAAATTACATTTATTATATAGAGGCAAAGGTGGAAATGCATATTTGTTTGATTTTTAGTAATTTGTTAATATTTTTCCTTGTTTTTTAAACTTATTTATATAAAATAAATAAAACTTATAAGTATAAACTTGTAAGGTTTAAAATTCAATAAAATTTAATATTTTTATTTTATACGATTTTGTCGTATTTATCTACACTTTATGTCTTTGTGTATAAGTTTTAGTATAAGTTATGGTATTTGATGCACGTTGTACTATGTATGGTATGTAGTAGGCTGTTTATAAAAGTAGTAGGGACACTGTGCTGGTTTACCGAACAGTGTATCCTGGAATTGTATAATCTCGATTAAACAAGTCTGAACATGTTAAAACCTCTCTGAACGCTTTCAAATCCCTGTTCATCCTATTTGAACCCCATCTGTCTGTGTTTACAACTGTTTGTAACATATCTATCAGTAACAATTAGACTATTAATTGCTATTGGGTTTTAATTAGTTAATAATTTCACCGTGGTGTATGCATAGCGCTATAATCGTTATAAGATTTTCTATATAAACAGACGTGGCTTTAACTTGTTGGTAATGTGTTAAGTCGATATTTGTATGCTTTAAGAATAGCTGGTTCTCTCGCTACAATAGCTAAACTCTATAACAAACAAACATTTGTTAAACACAAACCTCACTGTGAATTAATCGATTGCACTGATTACGTTTTGAATTTCAATCCTCGTAAATTCGTTCAGATAGGATTGGATCCAAAAGATCGATTTAACGTAACTATTCGTTTACTATCGTCAACCCGTTACATACTTATAACGATAGATTTCCTACAACGGATTTATACGTTGATGGGTAATATTCTGTCGCTAATTCTCGAACCGGTATCAAGACAAAAGATTATTTTACTCAAGGATGAATACGTTACACTCTCAAAGACTACGTTTTAAGGAGAGTCTTCGCTAGTCTTTGAATCACAAGCACAAGATGATTGCCGAGTGTTACTCACCCGATCAAACATTTTAAAACTCAGCGCTTTGGAATATTGTATCTTCGAGACTATCAATCAAAAGATGACTGTAATTCAACCATTGGTTCTACAACAGTTGGAACAGTTGGCTCAATATATGAAATCACGGTATGAAGTAAATGTGGGAAACAAATGTATGTTGATCAATGCGGTTTCGGATTATACGATTAGAAACAGTTTACCCAATAGCGATCTGAGCTACATAAGCCAAATAAAACAATTTGCAAGCCAGCAGTTGAAACAACAGTGGACAATGCTGGAAGAATATACTAAAGAAATGGTGAGTTACATTTTTTTTTTTTCTAATCGAATAGAACGTATTTAATAAATATATATAATTTCTTTTTAGTCTTCTAATAAAGAAAACGTATGCTCGACATTTTTTGGGTCGCTGCCCGATGATACAACAGATGCAAATATACAGTCGGAAACAATCATACCATCAAGTACAAACAACCAAGAAGTACCAACAGTAGTTGTTAGTAATAGTTATCCGACGTAAAACGACAAGTATCTAAAATATGTATATAATTTATACAAAAAACGGTAGCACAGTGGGGTCGCGGCATAGTGGAGACATTGCATAGTAGGGTCCAGTATAGATTTAATCTGACAGTGATTAAAATCACTATCATAAGAAACGCTTCGATGCAAATCTGTAGATAGTGTTTAATTTTAAAAAATTGATGGATAATTGCAAAAGCAACATCAACTTCTATTAAAATAAAATACAAAACCCATAATTATCATACAAAAATAGTATATTTTTCAATATGGTAGCCATTTGCGTATAGAAGATAGATCGTCGGGACAAATTTTTTTTTT